CCCTTTGTGAAGCTTGCATCCTGTGCAGTCTCACCAGCACGTCTTGGCTTCCATGGTATGTTCTGTGGTCTTTCCCGGCCCCAGGGACATCTGCAGGACACGCAGCCCCTCTAACTCAGTTCTTGAATTGAGCAGTAGAAGAAAATGCCTCCGTCTTGTGCCAAACGTCTGTGTGAAAGTATTCTGCGAGCCACTGCCCTGACTACCTGGGGACCGCGGGGGGATTAGTCATCCTAAAACCACAGTCACCTCAGAAATAGTCATAATCCAAAATCCATCCGTCTTTGACTCCAGACCCACTATATTTTTCTCCCACCAGGACTTTGCTGCTGAATTAAGTTGGACTTCAGGATATATTAAAATAATTTGTCATCTCTTGAGCACACATCCACCCTGGTGTGAGTGGGCAGATCAGGGGCAGCCCAGGAGGCCTCTGTCTGGGCGAGAGGAGGAGTCGAGCCCTGGCAGGAAAAAGCTTGTGTAGCTGCCTTTCCCAAGGGCTGGGCAGCAAGGACGATGGGCACTGAGCCCTCCAGGCCTGGGCAACTAGAGGAGGAACTGGCCCCAGAAATGGCCCTAGAACTGTTGCTTCTTAGGTGGCGATTCATAGTGAGTGCCCTGCGGGGCAGCGTGTGTGGTTTCAGGAACTGAGCTCTTTCAGCCTGGACCGAGGGTGTATCCTGAGGGATTCCTCCCTCCCTGCCCCGCCAGTGGACCAGATCACTTCCTTGAATGCAGAGCCATCCTTAGAGCTTGTGTTTGGCTGCCCACCCCTGACATCTGGCACAGGCCTGCAGGTACCCCACTGGGCTGTGGGCTCCTCAAAAGTTGGGCCAGTGTCCCTGCACCTAATACACATTGCAGGCACTCAGCATGTTTCTGGAGTGCATGCTGTGGGGAGAGGGGGGTGTTTCAAGGCAGTTTTGCAGCTCAGCCTGGATTTGAGTCTGCCGGGTTCTCAAGGTCGGCCACATTGATGAGCTCTGAGCCCCGTCCGGTCCCCGGGCTGTAGCACTGGGGGAAGCCCTGTGGTTTGTCTCCCTGCGCCTTTGCCGTTCTGTCCTCTGAGGTAGAGAAAAAGTACAAGAACAATGGCCTGGATTCTGTTTTTTTAAAAACAGCTTTATTGAGGTAGAATCCACGCTCCATACAATTCACCCTTAGAAAGTGTACAGCACAATGGTTTTTAGTACATTTACAACTATATGTGATGCTATTGCTAATGGAATTGTTTTCTTAATTTCGTGTTCAGATTTTTCATTGCAGGTGTACAGAAATACAATTAATTTTTGTATGTTGATCTTGTATCCAGCAACCTTGCTTAACTTATGTTATTAATTCTATTAAGGTTTTTTTTGGGGGGGGTGGATTCCTTAGGATTTTCTATATATAAGATCATGTCATCTGCAAATAGAAATAATTTTACTTTTTCTTTCCAATTCAGATGGCTTGTATTCTTTTTCTTGCCTAGTTGTCCTGGTTAGAACCTCTAGTATAATGTTGAATAGAAGTGGCAAGAGTGGGCATCCTTGTCTCCTTCCTGATCTTCGGGAAAAAGCATCTGGTCATTTCACCATTAAGTATGATGTTGGCTGTGAGTTTTTCACAACTACCCTTTGTCAGACTGAAAAAGTTTCCTTCTATGCCTAGTTTGAGTGTTTTTATCATGAAGGGATGTTGGATTTGTCAAATGCTTTTTCTGCATCAATTGAGACGAGCGTGTGATTTTGCTTTTTATTTTATTGTATGATATACAACGTTAATTGATCTTCAGATGGTAAACCACCCTTGCATTCCTGAGATAAATCCCACTTAGTGTGATGTATAATTCTTTTCATCCTTTATGTTGCTGGATTTGGTCTGCTAGTATTTTGTTGAGGGTTGGTTTGTTTTTCTTTTCATCCATGCCCTTTAGGACATTGGTCTGTAGCTTTCTTCGCTTGTGAAGACTTTGTCTGGTTTTGGTAGCAGGATAGTACTAGCCTCATAGAACCAGTTGGGAAGTGTTTCCCCCTCTTCTATTTTTTGGAAGAGTTTGTGAAGAATTGTTATTAATTCTTTCAGTGTTTACAGAACTCAGCAGTGAAACCATCTGTGCTTTTCTTTGGGAGTAATTTTTTAATTATTAATTCAATCTCTTGCTTTGTTATAGGTATTTCAGACATATTTCTTCTTGAGTCAGTTTCAATAGTTTGTGTCTTTCTAGTTGGCTTAGAGTCTTACAAGAATGTTTTCAAGACCTCTCTCTGCTCTTTTAGTCATTGTTGACATTTAGCGCGTTCTTCCTATGAGCAAGTATTTTGTGTGTGTGTACATTAGCTCATTTAATCTTTATAAGAGCTTGATGAACTAGGTAGGATTATTATCGTCTTCATTTTACATCCTGGGAAACTGAGGCAGAGAGAAGTTAAATAATGGGCCAGGGTCACACAGCTAGGGAATAGGAGAGCTAGGATTTGAGCCCAAGCAGTCCAGCCACACAGCCCTCTCTGTTCTCCCGAGGCCTTGCTCTGTGCTAGGAGCTGGGAGTACAAGAATGAATCAATCCTGGTCACTGCCTGAGTCCCTCCTCAGAGACCCCAGACCTAGGAGAGGGAGGTGCCTTAGGCCTAACGTGAACAAAGGGCTGAGAGGTCGGGCAGGGCCCCAGGAGAAAGTGATGGGTGAAGCGGGCCTTGAAGGAGGGTTCCATGCAGTGGGGCATGTGGGTGAGTCAGTGAATGTGCCCCCACCCCAGGGCTTTTGTCTTCTGCCTCTCCTGTGTCCCAAGTGCCCAGAGAAAGGAAAGGGTGTCACAGAGAACCTTGCCCTACGATGCTGATGCCCCGCCCAGCAGGAGGAGTTGGGAGCAGTACAGTTGGGCCCAGGAGGTCTGTCTGAATCGCCCAGGCCTCCCCGCAGTTTGCTGTCCCGGAGAGGAAGAGGCAGGACCATTTGTAAGACAATTGTGAGGCAGAAATCAGGAGCAACCAGACATAACTCAACATAATTATTTCTGCATAATGACTTCTGCTCCGTGATTCCATCTCGAGCAATGACTGTAATCTTTATCTGTCACAGGAAAGCTGGTGGCTGGGGGAGCCCCTGTGGCTTAGCGATAGAGCCAGGAGGAAATTTGCAATTTGAGTTAATGGAGTGTTCCCAAGCAGCCTGGGAGCCAGAAGCCTCTGGAATGATGGCCCCTCCTGCTAGGAAACCTGGTGTCAGAGCTGGCCCAGCCTCCCAGGGATCCAGCCCCTCCGCTTTGTCACAGATGAGGAAACTAAGGATGGCAGAGATCACAGGGCCGCTCAGCACAGGCGCACCTCTCTGCTCTCCCCACTGCACAGAGCTTGCCCCGTGAGAGCTGGGGTGTGTCTGGTGAGACAGGACGGTGTCCATGTGGACTAGGGATGCTTTCATCCATCCCTGAGCTTGATGTTCCCGCAGGGCTGCCCCCACGAGGCTGGGAATGGTGGGGCCTCTGTGGCCGGATGTCGGACTGACCTGCAGCCAGGCGAGGCCCCTAGGTATTAATTGTGCAGTATGGCTGGAGGGCGGGGTCCCCCCAGGAGGGCTGCAGCCCTGGGACCCACCTGCTTCAGCTCCGGGAAAGCAAAAGCCCCCCCAGCCCGAGGCGGTGCCTGCCCCCTGCATTCTCATGCCTCCTATAAGCCCCTGTAACTAACAAGTGCATCTAGAAAGAGCAGAAGTGGGTTTAGGGATTTGCATTTTGAGCGTCCCACTTAGCCGCGTGTGACCTTGGCAAGTGTCCCCAAGTCTGTTTGCTCCTCTGTAAACCGGGGGTTAGAATGGACCTTCCCCACCAGGGCTGTTAGGAGGGTGGGATGATAAAATGACCACCAGACACAATGCTTCTAGCACATTCTGCCACCGACTCTGGTTTACTGGTTTTCACAAGGGTGACCTTGTGAAGGGCCCTTGACCCTGTCCGGACCTTGATTTCCCTGAGTGTCAAAGCAAGGATCACAGAGTCGTGAGATGAATTTGCTGAGATCATTGACGTGAAAGCGCCTTTTAAAAATATGAGGCGAGGCGAGCATAGAGGAATTTTAGGGTAGTGAAACTGCTCTGTATGATACTATAATGGTGGATACAGGACATTAAACATTTGTCCAAACCCACAGAATGTAAAACACCAAGAATGAACTCTCATGTGAACTATGGATTTGGGGTGATAATATGTATCATTGTAGGTCCACCGATTGTAACACATATATCCCGGTGTGTGGAGGGGATGCTGAACGTGGGGAAAGTTGTGTCTGGGGGACAGGGGGTCTGTGGGATCTCTGTGCTTTCTGCTCTGTTTTGCCATGAACATAAAACTGCTCTAAAAAATAAAGTCTATTAAAAATGTTACATATAGATACATATATGTGTATATGTATATGTATAAAATCTGTAAGTGACCTCCAGTGAGAATTTCTGGTGGGAAGATGTGTGGCTTTTCTGCTCCACGTCTGGAATCCTAGCAGTGAGTTTAAATAATGTAACTGGCATATGAAGCTCTGTATTGGTGAAGCAGGGTCGAATTTCAACTCTGAGCAAAGTGCACTCTGCCTGCAGTAATGTCCGTGTGATGCATTTTGGGGCACTCGTTTGTCAAACACGGATTATTTATTGAGCGCTTGCTGCATACAGGCTCTGGGCCAGGGGCCAGCTGCACAGAAACAAAGACGCCGCCTCCCTTCCCTTGTGGAGCTCACAGTCAGTTCGGGGGAGCTGCAGCCCCTCAGTCTGCAGCAGCAAGGGGAGGCCCGGGGGCCCTCACACTGTGGGGGCCTGGGCTTTCCGGGTGGGTGAGCTACTCTTCCTGTCCTCAAGACCGCTCCAGTGAGTGCATATAAACCATGATCACTGCTGTGGAGGGAGAGAACCTTGTATTACGAGAAGATAACGGGGAAATGTGCGTAGATTGCATGGAACCGACCGGGGAGAAAGTCAGTTGCTCTGAGCCGGGGTGTCCCCACCCCACATGACTGGTCTGTCCTCTCTTTCAGGGCATGGTCTAGCAGCCCGGGCCAGGACGTGGAACCAGCCTCTGAGGTTCTGATCCCTGCTCCCTCCCCGCCTCCACTTGGCCTTGGGTAAGTGTTCCTAGAGACCAGACGGGCCTGGGGGCAGGTGAGGATGGAGAGCTGAGGGGCCTTTACCACTCTATGGGGTCCTGACCACGTGCCGGTGTGCACGGACTTGACCCAGCTCAGCGGAACAAACAGGGAAGACCAGGCTTTGAGGGGACAGCCTGCCCAGCACTCCCATGAGATGGGTCATGAAACTGAGGCCTGGAGACTAAAAGAACCACCCAGGTCCTACGGTAATCTAGGTCTCTTGTCCTAAATTGGCCAGGTTTTTGTGGGTAAGTCATTTGGCCTGGGTGCTTTGGTTGTGGGATGCGTCCATTGAGGAGAATTAGCAAATCAGAATATAAGGGGCAGGGAATTCCCTGGCGGTCCAGTGGTTAGGACTTGGCACTTTCACTGCTGAGGGCCCGGGTTTGATCCCTGGTCAGGGAACTAAGATCCTGCAAGCCATGCAGCAAAGCCAAAAAAAAAGAAATACAAGGGGCAGACTTTTTCTTTAAACTATTTTATTTATTTATTTATTTATTTATTTTTTTCCGGTACGCGGGCCTCTCACTGTTGTGGCCTCTCCCGTTGCGGAGCACAGGCTCCGGACGCACAGGCTCAGCGGCCATGGCTCACGGGCCCAGCTGCTCTGCGGCATGTGGGATCTTCCCGGACTGGGGCACGAACCCGCGTCCCCTGCATCGGCAGGCGGACTCTCAACCACCGCACCACCAGGGAAACCCTATTTATTTATTTTTAATAGATCTTTACCGGAGTATAATTACTTCACAATACCGTGTTAGTTTCTGTTGCACAACAAAGCAAATCAGCCATATGCACACACATGTCCCTGTATCCCCTCCCTCTTGAGCCTCCCTCCCACCCTCCCTGTCCCACCCCTCTGGGTCATCACAAAGCACCCAGCTGATCCCCCTGTGCTATGCTGCTGCTTCCCACCAGCCAACTATTTTACATTCGGTAGTGTGTATAGGTTGATGCTACTCTCACTTTGCCCCAGCTTTGCCCTCCCACCCCATGTCGCCAAGTCCGTTCTCTATGTCTGCCTCTTTATTTCTGCCCTGCAACGAGGTTCATCAGTAACATTTTTTTTTAAGATTCCATATATATGCATTAGCATACGGTATTTGTTTTTCTTTCTCACTTACTTCACTCTAGGTCCATCCACCTCACTACAAATGACTCAGTTTCGTTTCTTTTTATGGCTGAGTAATATTCCATTGTATATATGTGCCACATCTTCTTTATCCATTCATCTGTTGATGGACATCTAGGTTGCTTCCATGTCCTGGCTATTGTAACTAGAGCTGCGATGAACATTGTGGTGCATGTCTCTTTTTGAATTATGGTTTTCTCAGTGTGCCCGGTAGTGGGATTGCTGGGTCGTATGGTAGTTCTATTTTTAGTTTTCTAAGGAACCTCCATACAGTTTTCCCTAGTGGTTGTATCAATTTACATTCCTACCAACAGTGCAAGAGGGTTCCCTTTTCTCCACACCCTTTCCAGCATTTATTGTTTGTAGATTTTTTGATAATGGCCATTCTGACCGGCGTGAGGTGATACCTCATTATAGTTTTGATTTGCATTTCTCTAATGATTAGTGATGTTGAGCATCTTTTCATGTGCCTCTTGGCCATCTGTATGTCTTCCTTGGTGAAATGTCTATTTAGGTCTTCCGCCCATTTTTTAACTGGATTGTTTGTTTTTTTGATATTGAGCTCCATGAGCTATTTGTATATTTTGGAGATTAATCCTTTGTCTGTTGCTTCATTTGCAAATATTTTCTCCCATTCTGAGGGTTGTCTTTTTGTCTTGTTTATGGTTTCCTTTGCTGTGCAAAAGCTTTTAAGTTTAATTAAGTCCCATTTGGTTATTTTTGTTTTTATTTCTGTTACTCTAGGAGCGGGGGGTCAAAAAAGATCTTGCTGTGGTTTATGTCAAAGAGTGTTTTTCCTGTTTTCTTCTAAAGGTTTGATAGTGTCTGGTCTTACATTTAAGTCTTTAATCCATTTGGAGTTTATTTTTGTGTATGGTGTTAGGTAGTGTTCTACTTTCATTCTATTACATGTAGCTGTCCAGTTTTCCCAGCACCACTTATTGATGAGGCTGTCTTTTCTCCATTGTACGTTCTTACATCCTCTGTCGTAAATTAGGTGACCATATGTGCGTGGGTTTATCTCTGGGCATTCTATCCTGTACCACTGATCTATATTTCTGTTTTTGTGCCAGTACCATACTGTCTTGATTACTGAAGCTATGTGGTATAGTTTGAAGTCGGGGAGCCTGATTCCTCCAGCTCCGTTTTTCTTTCTCAAGATTGCTTTGGCTATTTGGGGTCTTTTGTGTTTCCATATGAATTGTAAGATTTTTTGTTCTAATTCTGTGAAGAATGCCATTGGTAGTTTGATAGGGATTGCATTGAATCTGTAGATTGCTTTGGGTAGTATAGTATAGTATAGTCATTTTCACAATATTGATTCTTCCAATCCAAGAACATGGCATATCTCTCCATCTGTTTGTATCATCTTTAATTTCTTTCATAGTGTCTTACAGTTTTCTGCATACAGGTCTTTTGTCTCCCGAGGTAGGTTTATTCCTAGGTATTTTATTCTTTTTGTTGCAGTGGTAAATGGGAGTGTTTCCTTAATTTCTCTTTCTGATTTTTCGTTATTGGTGTATAGGAATGCCAGAGATTTCTGTGCACTAATTTGGTATCCTGCAGCCTTACCAAATTCATTGATTAGTTCTAGTAGTTTTCTGGTGGCATCTTTAGGATTTTCTATGTATAGTATCATGTCATCGGCAAATAGTGACAGTTTTACTTCTTTTCCAATTTGTATTCCTTTTATTTCTTTTTCTTCTCTGGTTGCCGTGGTTAGGACTTCCAAAACTATGTTGAATAAGAGTGGTGAGAGTGGACATCCTTGTCTTGCTCCTGATCCTAGTGGAAATGCTTTCAGTTTTTCACCATTGAGTATGATGCTTGCTGTGGGTTTGTCATATATAGCCTTTATTATGTTGAGGTAGGTTCCCTCTATGCCCATTTTCTTGAGAGTTTTTATGATAAATGGGTGTTGAATTTTGTCAAAAGCTTTTTCTGCATCTATTGAGATGATCATATGGTTTTTGTTCCTTAATTTGTTAATGTGGTATATCACATTGATTGATTTGCATATATTGAAGAATCTTTGCATAATTTGTTAATGTGGTGTATCACATTGATTGATTTGCATATATTGAAGAATCTTTGCATCCCTGGGGTAAATCCCACTTGATCATAGTGTATGATCCTTTTAATGTGCTGTTTGATTCTGTTCAGGATTTTTGCATCTATGTTCATCAGTGATACTGGTCTATAATTTTCCTTTTTTGTGATATCTTTTTCTGGTTTTGGTATCAGGGTGATGGTGGCTTTGTAGAATGAATACGGGAGTGTTTCTCCCTCTGCAAGTTTTTGGAAGCGTTTGAGAAGGTTAGGTGTTAGCTCTTCTCTAAATGATTGATAGAATTCACCTGTGAAGCCATCTGGTCCTGGACTTTTGTTGGTTGGAAGATTTTTAATTATGGTCTCAATTTCATTACTTGTGATAGGTCTGTTTATATTTTCTAATTCTTCCTGGTTCAGTCTTGGAATATTGTACCTTTCCAAGAATTTGTCCACTTCTTCATGGTTGTCCATTTTATTGGCATATAGTTGTTTGTAGTCGTCTCTTATAATCCTTTGTATTCCTGCAGTGTCAGTTGTGATTTCTCCTTTTTCATTTCTAATTTTATTGATTTGCATCCTCTCCCTTTTTTTCTTGATGAGTCTGGCTAAGGGTTTATCAGTTTTGTTTATCTTCTCAAAGAGCCAGTTTTCAGTTTTATTGATCTTTGCTATTGTTTTCTTCATTTCTATTTCATTTATTTCTGCTCTGATCTTTATGATTTCTTTCCTTCTACTGACTTTGGGTTTTCTCTGTTCTTCTTTCTCTGGTTGTTTTCATTGTAGGGTTAGATTGTTTATTTGAGATTTTTCTTGTTTCTTGAGGTGAGGTTGAATTGCTGTAAACTTCCCTCTTAGAACTGCTTTTGCTGTGTCCCATAGGTTGTGGGTCGTCATGATTTCATTGTCATTTGTTTCTATGTATTTTTTTATTTCTTCTTTGATTCCTTCAGTGATCTCTTGGTTATTTAGTAGCTCACTGTTTAGCCTCCATGTATTTGTGTTTTTTAGTTGTTTTCCTGTAATTGATTCCAATCTCGTAGCATTGTGGTCAGAAAAGATGTTTGATATGATTTCAGTTTTCTTAAATTTTCAGAGGCTTGATTTGTGACCCAAGATGTGATCTATCCTGGAGAATGTTCCATGTGCACTTGAGAAGAAAGTGTATTCTGCCACTTTGGGGTGGAATGTTCTATAAATATCAATTAGATCTATCTGGTCTATTGTGTTATTTAAAGCTTGGGTTTCCTTATTTATTTTCTGTTTGGATGATCTGTCCTTTGGTGTAAGTGCAGTGTCGATTTCTCCTTTCATGGTTGTTAACATTTGCCTTATGTATTGGGGTACTCCTATGTTGGGTGCATAAACATTTATAATTGTTATATCTTCTTCTTGGATTGATCCTTTGATCATTATGTAGTGTCCCTCCTTATCTCTTGTAACAGTCTATTTTAAAGTCTATTTTATCTGATACAAGTATTGCTACTCTAGCTTTCTTTTGATTTCCACTTGCATGGAATATCTTTTTCCATCCCTTCACTTTCAGGCTGTATGTGTCCCTAGGTCTGAAGTGTGTCTCTTGCAGACAGCATATATATGGGTCTTGTTTTTGTATCCATTCAGCCAGTCTGTGTCTTTTGGTTGGGACATTTAATCCATTTACATTCAAGGTTATTATCAATATGTATGTTCCTATTACCATTTTCTTAATTGTTTTGGGTTTGTTTCTGTGGGTCTTTTTCTTCTGTTGTGTTTCCCACTTAGAGAAGTTTCTTTAGCATTTGTTGTAAAGCTG